GCCTATTTCGAGAGGAGACATATAAAAGGAATTTAATAATTTGATAGAATATAACAGTAGCCTAATAAGCTGACATTCTTTTGTCAAACACTCGTGCTAAAGAAGACAACACAACCGTGAGAAAGATGGACGTATAATGAAGTCGAAACGACCACATCAACAGTTAGTCCACATTTGGCTCTCATTATTCGAAAATACAAACGAGTTCCAAATAAATTATTAAAAATAGAAATAAAAAATAATTTTCTTTTTTCTTTCTTTTTTATTTAAATAGGAGGGTATATTCGTTATTTCATAATTTTTTATTGAGAAATTGGATAAAAATTGATAGAAAATATTGGTTTGCACAATTAGAGGTGTAATTAAGGATGAAAATGTTAAAAAAATGAAAGGTAGATAACATTATGTGTTAATTATTCTTTTAATAACAATTTAGGACTCGTTTGCACTATTTTAAAAAATTTAGGATCATGGTTACAATTAGTTCTTTCTTTTTTCTTTTTGTTTTATTTAAATACAATGACATATTCACTATTTTACAACTTTTAATTGAGAAAATTGATAAAAATGACCTTTTACTTAATGAAATGTCAAAAATAGAGTGAAAATGTCAAAAAATAAAAAGTAATGATGTTTTCCACAGTAATAGCGAAATGTAAGGACGTTATGTGTTAATTACCCATTCATCTAACATTTTAGAGATTGTTCACTATTTCTTTATGGGGGTCGTAGTATATCATTTAAAAAATAGTATTATAACATGTACGATCTTCATATCAATTTGAGATTTGCTGTCCAATTTACAGTTCATCCAATTAATTATTGACACATCATTTTTAAATTAATATGTTATCTCAAATTTACCTTCACTGCCTTCACCACTAACTCATTAAATTGATGACACGTTAATTTAAAATAACATGTTAATAATGAATTGGATATACAGTAAAATTGGTCAACAAATCTCTGCTAACCTCAAATAAAAAACTCATGCGTATAGTATTTGAATTAGGACCACTTGCCCTACCACATCACCTTGCAATTCATATAACATGGTAGAGATTGTACGATATTTCTTTATGGGGTAGTAGTATATTATTTATAAAATAGTATTAGAACATGTGCGATCTTCGTATCAATTTGACATTTTATTATGTATGAGTATATCTATATCTTTATGCGATATTTTTGTGTTGAAAGCATTTTTCTAGAGCTGTTCGATTCCTTTTTCATTAAATTTCTCTTTATCTTGTACAACTATGTAAATATAACTATTCTCTTTGTCCAATTAATGAGTGCAATATTACTATTTCTAATTTCAAGAGGCCAAGTTCCAACCCATATCCATTATACCTTCGTTCGCAACTTTTTCTTGAATTTTTGTCCCTATCCTTTCTTTTTAAGTGCATAATTGCATATAGTTCCAATTTACCTTGACTATAAATATGAAGGAAGGGACGTGCTACTCAAACAGGGGCCTGTAGATAGGCTTTTAAACAGAAAATCACCTCTGTTCTTGATTAAATTCAAATCAAGCGCTGACGTAAATCCCTCTTTATAACTCTATCCAGGCCCTTGTTTGAGTAGCATTAGTCTAATATGAAAAGTAAATTTAGCTCCAAAAAATTTCACAGGCCCCACTTCTAGAATAATATTATTTAGTGAAATTTACAAAAATGTCCAATTTCATGTTTATCAATTGAAAAGTGTCTAATTTTGATAACTCTTGCAGAAGTTGCTGAATATGATATCAAAGTGTTTATACCCTTAATGAAAAATGAATGAATTTTTTTTCCCAATCCGTTACGAATTTCAAGAACAAGTAGCTTCCACAAGAAGCTAAACTAATGCTAACTAATATATTTCTAATGAATTTATTTACTTTCATTATTTATTACTTATTGACCAATAATTTTGGTAAAAAATGAAGATGGCGACGTAGAAAAGTCATTAAAATTACAAAATTACTATATACTTCTAATTCATGAGAAAATTATATAGCCCTTGTTTGACCGCTATTATGAAGAGAAATTTTGAAAAAATGTATTATGGAATAGAATTTTTTTGGAGAATGTATTGTTAAAAAAGTAAGAATTTTTTTTAATTTACGTGTAATATTATTTTATTAAACAATGTATGATTAAAAAAAAGAGAGAGAAAACTGTATTAAAATTTTAAAGGGTGTCAAACAAGGGCATGATTTCATTTCGAGAAATTTAATCGCATCCAAATTTGGGAGTTGATCAGGCTCTCCTCAATTATCAATAGAAAATAATTTTTCTTTTAAATCATTTTTTGTTGATATGTTGCGTTTAACGGTTGTTATTCTTGACAATTCATGGCGTTGTGTTTAATAATTGTTATTCTTGACAATTCATGACGTTCTCGACATTTTAAAAGTTATTATTGACATTTTGAACCTATTTATTTCAACACTTGACACTTCAAGTGTGTCTAGGGTGAGATTTCGTTCCAAACATAAAAAATCTCTACATTTTCATAAAGTTCTTGTCATTTTAAGTACAGTTCTCGATATTTCATAAATATTTTATTTACCCACTTATAGGGAGAAGTGAACATTTAATTCATGATTGATATAATACCTTTTTAAATAAGTAGCATTAGTTATGTGTCAAGTTATTGTTGGACAACATAATTTTTAATTAAATGAATAAATTTGTCTTTGTGGATTTTAAAATTGCCAATGAGGATATTTTTTATCTAAATTATAGTCTAATGGAAATTGAACAAATTTTGGACATTTTTACAAATAACTAAGGAAAAATAGACATTTTTTTGCAGTTTCCTTTATTATTTACCATTATTGAATTTTGCTACTTTGCCGACTGGTTGAAATCCTCTCGCATGTCGTGAGTTTCGTGTTAATAAAAAAGTCCAAAAAAAAAGTGAGATCCGACCGTCAAAAAATTCGACCTCCGAGATTGAAGCAAATTTACCTTTTAGACTTCTTGTGGAAAAAGAAATAACAGGCCAAAGGACAGTGGTGCTCTCACGTGCTGCACGACCCATAATGGAGCGTCGCGTTCTTACACTTACCCGTATTCTCCCATTGAAACTCTTGTCTCCACTCGGAAAATCGGTGACCAATTGCAGAACCCTAAAAATTTGAAATCCCCAACTGAAACAAAACTGATAATCTTTGTTATATTCTGTGTCCTCATAGANCGAGACGGAGTCGGAATGGGATCAAATTTGACAGGTTGATCGGGAACAAAAATCGCGCTGGGGGCAATTTCGTCATTTTTCCCAACTGCGTCGTAATGGGCCAAAATTCGACACATTGTTCGGAAACAAAAACTGCGCCGGGAGCAATTTCATCATTTTTCGCGACGGTGTCGGAGTGGGCTAAAATTTGATCGATTGATCTGAAAATAAAAATCGGACCAAGGGCAATTTCGTCATTTTACGCGACAGTGTCGGAATGGGCTCAAATTTGACAGGTTGATCGGAAACAAAAACCGCGCCGTTGCAATTTCGTCAATTTTCGCGGCGGTGTCGGAATGGGCTCAAATTTGACCGGTTGATCGGGAACAAAAATCGCGCCGGGGGCAATTTCGTCATTTTTCTGAGTTTCGTGTTAATAAAAAAGTCCAAAAAAAAAGTGAGATCCGACCGTCAAAAAATTCGACCTCCGAGATTGAAGCAAATTTACCTTTTAGACTTCTTGTGGAAAAAGAAATAACAGGCCAAAGGACAGTGGTGCTCTCACGTGCTGCACGACCCATAATGGAGCGTCGCGTTCTTACACTTACCCGTATTCTCCCATTGAAACTCTTGTCTCCACTCGGAAAATCGGTGACCAATTGCAGAACCCTAAAAATTTGAAATCCCCAACTGAAACAAAACTGATAATCTTTGTTATATTCTGTGTCCTCATAGAAATACGTCAATAATCTTGAATGGAGTACAAGAATCGCTCAACTGATCAAAAAGCCTCAAATCAGTCTCCGGGTTACAATTATTTTCCAGAACAAGCCCTTCGAGGTATGTGAGTTTTTAATCTTTTGCTCTTTGAATTTTCAAGTTCGTCTTCTGTACGTATACGCGAGGAAATAAAACGTGTTTGGATATGAATGGAATTTAAGCCGCATTGTGGATTTAGTTGAGTGCAATTTTTTTGTGTCATTAACAATGGATCATTTTTTTTTCTTCGGCTATTTATTTATTTTATTATTATTATTATTATTATTATTATTATTATTATTATTATTATTTGCATTTTTTCACTGTCACAAGGTACTTAGAGATATGGATATACGGAGATCAAGGTTGGTTTATTTTCAAAATAATAGTTTTTTACCCCATCGGGAAATGGAGATCGAATTTTATTTATTTTAGATTCTTTATTTTTTTCTGATCTGCTGCTACCTTTTGATATTTTTACGTTTCCCAATTTCAGTTGCAAAGTTAAATATTGCACAAGCGTGGGTTTAAAACGTGTGATAAAATTTTATAGATAAGATGTTGATGAACTGCTGTTTCTTTGTGAAATACAAACTTTCCACTAACGAAATTTGAACAAAGCTATGCATAAAGTTTTGTGATAGAGAACTGGAAAAGAAAGAATCTCGTCTGTGTATTTATGTTGGAAAGACAAAGTTCCCATGTTTACTTTATTATTATTTTTTTCTCTGTCTATCGATCAAGTTTGGATTATTTTTTATCTTGGGATTTTCTGATCGGCTACTGTCAATATTTTTGATAATTTTACTCTGTTGTTTCAGCTGGCTATACGGGCTCATTTGCAGGTCGTTTCCATTGTGAGTACTTGCAAGACCGTAGTCAACTTCACCCTCAGCCTCACCCGCAGCCTCAGCCTCAGCCTCAGCCTCAGCCTCAGCCTCAGCCTCAGCCTCAGCCTCAGCCTCAGCCTCAGCCTCAGCCTCAGCCTCAGCCTCAGCCTCAGCCTCAGCCTCAGCCTCAGCCTCAGCCTCAGCCTCAGCCTCAGCCTCAGCCTCAGCCTCAGCCTCAGCCTCAGCCTCAGCCTCAGCCTCAGCCTCACCATCATCCTTTACTTCAACCTCATGACTTGTATGAATCAATTCAGAGAGAGATTGAAAAGCAACGAATTAGAGAGGAGATGATAATATCAGAAATTGCAAGGAGGCGTGTTTTGGAATATGAGGTGAGGAGGGAGCTGATGATGGAGAGAGAACTGGCTCAGCGAAAAGGCGAGGATGGGTTTCCATTTGGCCCATCATCGGGAATTGGGTATGACTCAATTAGGTTTCCACTCGTGGGGATGAGAAGTGTGGGCAGGTCTCTAGAGGAGAGGGTTGCAATGCCACCCAAGGAGAAGGAGAGGCTGAATATAAGGCATGAGAATGCAGAGATTGAGACCCAGCCATTTCAAAGGTGTATGACGGAACCAAGAATTTCTGAAGTTAAGTCTGTCTCGGATAGGGGGAAAGAGAAAGAGAAAGTGGTTTTGCTGGTTAGTACTCATTCCTTGTTACCACTCCATGTGTTTTTTCTTGTATGCAAGACTTTAATTTGGTGGCCTCAAGTACAATGAAATTGTTTTATTTTCAATTCTCCACCCTTGAAAAGAAAAGAGTTTTTTGAGACTGAATAGAGTAAGTGTAACGTAAAAGAGTATTGAGTTTCTATTTCATTACAATCTGCTTGTGGATGCAAGGCTTTGGTAAAAGTTTATGGTAATTAATCCCAGAATAGTTGTAGCTTACTATGTTTTAGTTTGTAAAAAATCATAAACCTTTTCCTTTGAGGATATTACACCCCAAAGACCAAACTGATTATAGACAAATAATTTTCCGAGAATGTCTCTAATTGAAAGGATAGAGTAATCATTTCAAAATCATTAAATATTGCCCAATTGATTTAACAAGATAAGTTTATTTTTGTTGCCTAATCAATGTCTGAAGTCGTTTAGCCTTCAACTTTTTAATCCTTTTGATCGTGGCTTTGCCTTTTTCTTAAGACTATCATTAGAAGAATATGAGTTTGGAAGCTGAAGGCCGAATGATCCTTTATGGTGTCATCACCTTATTTTAGTTCTCTACTTTTTATTTGCCGTCACTGGCAAGTTTGTATAGATGAGTGAAACTTGAAAATTTTCTTTTCGGCATATCTAACGTTTTAACTGCCAAAATTCTAACACCTTTAAATTTGTTTTCATATATTTTGAACTGGCTAGTTAGTTATTAATACTGCAGAATAAGCAATGGAAAATTTTTCATTTCGAAGATATTGTCCAAGAGGTTGTTTGATAAAACTGAGTTCTAAATGAGGACAATGTAAATTTAAGTGGTGAGTTTATTAAGCTGCTGGATTCTAAGTAGTACTGAAAGCTGTGTTTGCAGTCTGAACTATAAACACCCTGCATATTTTTTATTTTTATCACGTTGTTCAAGCATGCCGACAATTCTTATACAGTGTGTCCTATATGAACTTGTGTGTGCACAGATTTCTGTTATTTGTACTCCATTTTTCCTACTTTTATCATGATATTAATAGGTAATGCAGTGGGTAGCTGTCCACCTTCAACAAAAAATCCTTATTTTCATCTTTTCTATCTTTAGTTTTCTGCATGCTATCTATGGTTATTTGCATGCTATCTATGGTTATTGGCAGGCGCTAACTCCATAATTCTTCAGGAGAATTATTTAGCTCTAGTGGTAAGATATTTTTTATTTTTTCTGCTTGTTCCCTTTTTTGCATTTGGTTCTGGAATTTTTGGCGGGGGGAGGGGGTGGAGTTGCCGCAGACCGGGTTCTGGCCCAAGGCCTTGGGCCTCAACATATCAGGGGGCCTCAAAAAACATCAAAGTCCAAAATTATCATATTTTGGACGAAATTTATGGAATTCTTGCATTAAATATTTGCTTGAAGATGTAGTAGACTAGTAGTGTAAATAAAAGAAAGGTTGTCCCACTACACAATAATGACATTTTTTTTTTCTTTTTTAAATATAGAAAATTTTAGGTAATAAATGGTAGCCACCACTCATATGCCTCACAGGTTTTATAAGGCTTTAGTTTTATTTCTTAAATGCGAAATTTGATTCTTGAACCAATAAAATGGTGAGTGAGTTTCATCATCTTAATGTTCTTTATTATGAGAAATTGTGTTTGAATTGACCATGATTGATGTTAAAGAGATTACTACGCTGGTAAAAGAAATTCTTTCGGGGCCTTATAATATTTCGTCTCCTTGGGCCTCAACATTTTCAGGGCTGGCCCTTGGAGTTGGATTGGAAGAGATGGGAGGGCTTTTTGCCTTTTGGTATTTTCTCTCACATGGTGGACATTTTTGAGTTTTGTAGGCCAAACCCCTTGAATATCTATCTAGAGAGAAGAGAAAGGCTGCAACATCATCTGTAGTAGATGATGATGAGCTTCCATCAGCTGCTATCTCAAGGAAGAAAGCTAAAGAGGAGTGGAGTTGTGCTCTCTGTCAGGTTAGTGCCACCAGTGAGCGAGCCCTAAAGGACCACGTGCAGGGAAAGAAACACAAGTCCAAAGAGGCTGCATTGAGAGCTCAGAGGGGTGGCAAAAACTATAACATTGGTCTTTTTCCAAAGAAAGCTGCCATGCCAGTCACGGTTTCAGGAACTAAAAATCTAGGTTTTGAGGGAGTGAAATCTGCAACTCAATTAATGCACCTCAATAAGATGGGGGAGATGAGCTCAGAGAAAAACAATATGCCACTATTGCAGGAAATCCGAAAACTGGACAACTTAAAGAATAACCAATTGGAAGTTCTAGAAATACAGAAGGATGGAAACAGCAAGAAAAAAAATTATAAATTTTGGTGTGAAATGTGCCAGGTAGGAGCCTTCTCTCGAAGTGTCATGAATGCTCATAGGAAAGGGAAGAAACATGTAAAACGACTCCACGAATTTGATCAAAATGGAGCTGATTCGTCCAAACTGAAGAAGTCTGTAGTACAAGTTAATGATTCAGAATGGGTTGCTGGTGATGGGAAGAACACAGCAATGGAAAATGTTGGCAAGGCAGTGGATGTAGTGAGCTCAGAGGATCACAAGACCATCGAGATAGCCAATTCTGAAGATCACAAGGCCATGGAAGCGGCCAAGCAGGAAGGTAATGAGGCCATGAGTTCATCCGAGGGAGATGATAAAGAGAACAATGATGTTGCCGAGCAAGAATATAATGCGACCATGGATGCAACCAAGCCAGTAAATAACAAGGACAATGATACAGTCCATACAGAATATACTGAGGCCATGAATGCAGCCAGGCCAGATGATAACGAGGCCAATGATGCAGTCCGGACAGAATATAAAGTGGCAGCGGATGCAGCCAAGCCAGATGATTATGAGGCTGATGATGTAGTCAAGCTGGAATTCACTGAGGCCATGGTTGCAGCCAAGCCAGAAGATAACAAGGCTGATGATGCAGCTGAGCCAGAATTTAGCGAGACCGCGAATGCAGCCAAGCCAGACCATAACCAGCTCGATGATGAATTTGAGGCTTAAGATGATGAGATATTTTGATTCCCAAGTTGAGCTCTTAGACCACATGTGGATTGAAAAACTAATTTTCCCTGATTCCATCTTCCCCTAATTTGAGTGGTCAGTTTACTGGTAATCAGTAGTATGTTTCATAGAACGTTCAGACTTTTTCTAAAAATTTAATTTCTGCCGGACTTTTCAGGAATATAACTATTCCTGTTGAAATATGTTATCAAGTTGGCAATTGGGTGATTGCAGATGTTGGATTCTGAAGAACCAGAAAATTTTTGGTGTAAATTTTGCTACTTTGGTGCGTATATTCTCGCTTAAATATATCATTGTAACCCGCCAAACTTACCATTGTGGGACATAAGTAATAACAACGTAAAATTTATCTCGTGGCCTGTTTGTAACAATAATTGTCCAATGGCGATTAGATTAAGGTTGCTTTCCACTTCAACCTGCAACTATCCACCCAGAAATTTCCAATTACAAAGTGATATGGCCTACAAATACGATTTTTTAAGTAACAATGTCACACTTAAAAAATCACAATTGCAGCTTTAATAACTTGGTTCAACCGATGAAGACTTGCATAGACAATAAAAACACCAGGGCCTAATTACACCGAAGCTCTTGTATCCCTCGCATTTCTCGTATGACGTTCTCCGAGGCAAAACCCATCGCCGCAAAACGAGAAATGTTACACGTACAGAAATCTCTTACAAATTGTTTGATAAATTGCGAGCTGACAAACATTCATTAAATGTTGGACACAACACAGTTAAATCAACCAATACAATGTTGCCACCTCATCATATTTCCTGTAATTTTTATCCGTACAAACAGCTTTATTCATGCAAAACAATGACTGGATATTAACCATGTGACTAGACAAAGCATGCTAAGATTCCATATTCATGTTTTTCTTCATTGCAAAGGGCAGAAAAGATAAGTAGTTCCATGAGACAAATATACTATACAATACATATATAACAATTGTTTCCAACATGTCAAGTATGCTGAATATAAAGAACTAGGTATTGCTCTACTTAAGGAATTACATTAAACTACAGACAAAATGCAATTAAAAACTGGCAAGTGGCAACCAACTTGGAGAAGCACCGAAAGTTCACCAGCCTCCCGAATGTCGATTAGTTGAGCCTTGATAATCAAACTCTCAATGCAACTGGGTCCTGCCACGAAATTTTTCGCTTACCAACCCGGGTCGAACCCTCCCCAGCATTTCTACACACTGACAATTTCAAGTCATTATGCTGGTCATCATGTAAACCTCTAACCAAACCTTTCCTTGCATCATCAAGCTTTAAAGGTTCATAATTACTCTGAAAATCATCATCCCCTGTCTGTTGAAGAACAAACTGTTACAACACAAAAATTGAAAATTTGTAATTTATAAGAAGATGAACTCAGGAACCTACCGAAATTTCATTTAAGTCAAAGATTGGAGCTCGACTTGGCAAACGAGCTTCTCTCCCACTAGTGTCCTGGTTCAAATCAAAAGCTGCAACTGAGTTTCTCAGACCAGTATCATTTGCACCACATATTCTTTCCCTCTCATTCAAATCAATGACCAGTGGCTTGTTTCGCATTAAAGTTTCTTTCCTAATGTTTATCCTTCCTCTGTAGTTCATATCAGAATTTGGAGTTAAAGCGAAATGAGAATCTTGCTTTTTACCATGTAATTTTTGCTTGCGCTCAATATTAGTAACTGGTAATGCAGAACGAGGAGCAGCTTCTTTTCCAATGTATTTCCTCTTGGGTTTGGACTCTGGAGCCTGGGGAATTCTTTTCAGGGAGGTAACTTTTTTACTGAACATTTGATCCTTCTTTTTCTTTATAATATGGCTTACTGCATATGGTGCTGGTTGTACAAGTTGCTGTTCTTGCGACGAATTCAAAAACTTCGTTTCGAGAAGATACTTGTGTCTCTTCTGCAAAAATCTAAGAAATAATGAGCCCAATTAGCTACTAATCATTAAAACAACGTGAAGAGATCAACTGCACAAATATATGCAAGAAATACTTCACCACAAAAAAAAAAAAAAATAATAATAATAAATAAATAAATAAATTTGATTACAATTCGATCATGCACAAGCAAGCAAGTATTACTTGACCATAAATGTTGCCATATAAAATAGGGAAAATGCTCCTTCTACATAAGTGTTTACATGATGTATTACATAGTGATGAAGAGTCAAAATGGAAGTGGAGAAGTAGTTGATTGATGAGATTTTGATCCAATCAAATCTCGCCACATCTTTTGTTGGTAAACCATTATGTAACTTGTTATGTACATTTGGCACAAACCGATAAAATAAACCCACAATTTCTCCCAAATCCAAATAGGCAGGCAAACTACCAGCTATATGAAGCATTAGAGAAATATCCAATTATTGTTTTCACACGCAGATAGGAAATAAACTAGCATTTATCAATATACAACAATTAATGGCTGAAAATCATTAGCATACACATCTTCATAACGCATAAAATTGCATACCGAACTTCAGCTGTCAGTATCTGCCTCCTCTGTTTTGCAGTCTGCAGTTTGTTTCTCATTCCATTGGATTCCTGAAAAACAATTTTGATTGTAAACTAGCTTGCCAGTAACTGAAGAGGACTCCAACACAACAGAGAAGTATCAAATATTAATACAATTAGGCATTCGATTCATCGAATAACCAAGTAAAGAAAAGCATGATCTTACCAAGAAAAAGTACCAATACATTAAAACAAGAATTACGAACATACATGAGTGTTATTAGAGGGCAAATATGTAGATCTAGCATTATAGTCCATATACTTGGAAAGACCTTAATCGTTGACCGAGAACCTCCTAATTCATGAAATATATAATATTAAAAATACAAATAAAACCAGACTATGATTTGAAAAACCAATATTATAAAGACAGTAAGAATTACTAGGCAAATCACAATAATCTTGCCGAGAAACAGAAGATCTTGCAAGAAAAGATTTTCAACAGGAAAATAAATAACAAATACAAATTAATAAATCATAAATCCCTTAAAACCCCAAGAAACGTCACGAGGGAAATCAATAAGCAATAGATTGAACAGAAATCTCAAAAAAAAAAGAAAAACCCAGAAAACATCAAGAAACAACAGAAAAATCAACAAAAATACCCCAGAACAATCATAAAAACCCAAGAAACAAATCGCCAAATAAAACTTCAGATCCTTAATCAACAAACCTTTTGTAGTTCCTGGTAGTCTTGCAAGAGACTCTGATGCTTCAATTTGGCCTTATCACCCTCATTCAGACCAACAGTATAAGATGACGTTGAATCCAAGGAAACCCCTTTCATCTTTTTAGACATCATCAGATCACAGAATATAGAAAGCCCTTCTCACAAGAACTCCGAATCTTGTATAAAAGGAAATTAATAAGGCGATAAGGATGAATATGGAAGAGCGGTGGAGAAGAAATAAAGAAAGGTCAGTAAAGATAAATACAACAGAAAGAAAGGACAGAAAGAGAGGAAAAATATAGAGGAAGTGGGAAGGTTCCTTGTTTGCTTTCCTGTTTTCCCTGTGAAAAAACTCTGACCAAGACAACAAATTAAAGGCCCAAAAAGCCCACCTAAATTGTGGCAAAAATAATAAAAACATTGTTTCTTTACACGACAGTGAAGTTGATGATGAAGATGGGGATTTTTGAAGGGGTTGCAGAAGGGCAATTGTGACAACCAATCTCACTTTTTAATTTTTTTTGGTTGTGTGCGTAAGGTGGGTTTGGTCTATCCGTCTAAAACTTGAAACTTTCGTTTTTCTTTCTTCTACATAGACATAAATTTTGGTCCAGCTGGGCCATTAGACAGAAAGAGAGAGTTGGGTGGAGTTATTCTTGTTTTCCCACTCTTTCTGCTGAATATAGATGCCAATGTGGACATAGAGTAGAAGAGAGAGATGGAGATAGAAAGAGAAAAAAAAATGTAGGTTTTTATTATTTCTAGAGAGAGACAGAGATGATGATGATGATGGGATTTGCTGAAAAGGCAAAGATGGGTAGAAGAGAGAGAGAGGGAGGAAGCGAGCGCTGTTTGTTGATGTGTGTTTGCAGCAGGTACCTTGGTTTAGGCTTTGGTCTTGTGACAGTGATATGCTTTCTCTTTAATTTATTTTATTGTACCTGGACCCATCTTGTGAAATTACAATTTTACCCTTCTTGGCATTTTAATGGGTAATCTCCAAGATGTTGCTATGAATCTTCTGTTGAGCTTTCACACTTGTGGTCAGTCAAGTCTGAGGATAGTTGGGTCATTTGACGTGTTATTTCTTGAATCAATGGCATCTATAGTCTGTACCTACTTTCTGGAATTTTCTTAACACCAACCTAGTGGGAAGTGACTTCAAAGATCCATAAAAACCCTTAAAAAAATCCTAATTCACCGTTGAATGGGTAGTATAGTAATTACGCAATCCATGTCCTCTGCTATACCTGTGTGCTATAAAAATAAGTGGAATATAAACTTCACAAGACCTGTTTTACAGGCCACATTGCTGGTCCCTCCCCCGTTTGCGTGACGGATTATTCTATATGTATTAAGGAAAAAAATGTATGTACCGAGGGGGGACTACCGAACCGTGTCCCCCGTCTCACATAACACGTGGGTCCTGCGTGTGTTAAATAATATCGAACCGTGGTTCTCACCTTTTATTGTGAGTAGTAAGTAAAAGATTAGGTAAAAAAAATCGATACGTATAGCATGATCCATGTATTAAATGGGCGTACCAAATGATGTCTTTCATCTCACAATGCATGGAAGTTTCACGTGAATTTAAAAATGTCGACATGTGAGTTCTCACCCCTATTGTAAGTAGTAGATAAAAAATTCGATACATAGAATATTGTCCGTAGCAGAGCTCTTTACATAAACTTGCTCTTTACATAAACTTGATGACTACAAGAATTAAACTACTTCTACGTCATGCTATACACTTTGCTTTACACCTTGAACATGTGGCAATTTTTTAATAATTGGATTAAAGTTGTTTTAATAAAACTTCTTGGACAGGCCCAATCAGCCTATCCATATAGCATCCCCCAAGTTGTTTTTGTCAAAAATAATTTGAGATCTTGTAAGTATAAGAGAAGTAAACCTAGTGGTATAAGATGTACACATAGCATCACTCCAAATACAAATATTTATCTAGACTTTGTTTGATTCTCATTTTTTTTTAAAATATATTTTTTCCTTTTCTTTTCAACCACACATTTTTTTAATAAAATAATATTAAACGTAAATTTAAAAAAATTTCTTACTTTTTAGCTACACGTTCTCCATCAAATCTCTATTCTAAAATGCATTTTTTGCAAAAAAAATAGGCATCAAACAAGCTCTTAGTGTTTGTGTGTTTATGTATATATTGTATGTATAGGTAGAAAGAGAAAGAGGGGATGTTACAATTGGAGTGCATTGAATAAATATGTATCGTGATGCCTTCTTGCCATTGGCTTTTGGCAATTTGACATGGACATGGGGGGAAGACTAAACTTAGGGGCAACAAACACCTTTTTTTTTTTTTTTTTTTGGTGTATTTCTTTTATCTTGATGATGCCATCTTACATTGGCTGTGTTTGAATTTGAAAACTCAGGCCAATTTGACATGGACATGGGGGGAAGACTAAACTTAGGGGCAACAAACACCTTTTTTTTTTTTTTTTTTGGTGTATTTCTTTTATCTTGATGATGCCATCTTACATTGGCTGTGTTTGAATTTGAAAACTCAGGCACACACAATTAAGGGATAAATTTCTTATCAATTAAGTATCGAAATATAAAAAATATATAATGATCTGGATTATTATTCTCATTAATAAGGTTGAACTTCTAAAATGAAATATTAAGTCTTAATATGGCTCAAAGCTCATTAAACTCAAATGAGTAATTTGATTTGATTAAAACTCAAAAAATAAGCACAAAATTTTATGATTGGTCTGCTCCTCCATCCGGTGAGGGTATTTTAAGAGAGAAAATTTTCATTGGCTAACATATAAAGGTTGAACTCCAATTTTGAGAACCCCCCACCGCTCCCTTTTTAGAGGTTTGTGAGAGAGGTAAATCGTGGGATTGGCACGCACACACACACATATGTGTGTGTGTTATAAATGCAAACACTTAACTACTGAGGTAAAAAAAGATTGTATAGTGAATATCACACAATTTTTGCATAGCACGTCTAATTGTGTGTCTTTCTTTTTCGTGGTTCTTGCAATTTGTACAAATTCTATTGTTTAATAAGATTCATCCATTTAGAAATTGGAGTTTGCCAACATTTTTCTTACATTCTTTGGATCAGTCGAGCAAGAGTACCGTTGCCAAAGTCAACATTGACTAAAAGAGGATGCCAAGTTATTGAAATTCATTCTCGCAAGTTACTAACCAAGTTAGCGGTCCAATTCCAACATCACTTGACCCCCTTTCTTGACCAGCTGACCCCAAGAAAGTAAATTCATTACCAAATTATTATATTTCGTGTTCTATCAAAGTAACACGTTATTTCTGATTGGCCATTTGATTACAAAGTTCGTTTTGAACATCTTTTTCTACGACGTGTTTAGTAAAATAAATTATCACAAGTCATTATTAAAAAATTTAAACCTTTATTTATCATATAGTTTCAAATAATGTTTATAATCGAAGTCTTACCTTTTTGGGGACAGTCTTCTTCCTAGTCAAAGGAAGGAAGATAAATTCACACAATTTGATCGTTAATACTGGTTTTTTTTCTTTTCTTTCTTTCTTTTTTTTTTTCACATTGAGTGCTTGAGTTATCTATTAAAAGATGAGGTTCAACGACTCTTGTGAGAATTAATGGAGTCGTTGGACACAAAAATTGTTTTTCTGTTCGTAATTACAAAAAATTCCAAATGAACATTTTTAAAGGTTTGTGCATGCTACTAAATGACGATCATGTTGTAGACAGCTTGACCGTTGTTGCACTGTTTATATCATATCACTTTAGCCTATGTTTGACAACCATTATTTGGGAAAAATAGAGTTTTGAATAATTATTTTTAGGAAAATGTGTGGTTAAAAAGTAGAGAAAAGTTTTATAATTACGAGCAAAATATTTTATTGTGTAAATGTGTGATTGAAAATGAAAACGTAGAAAAAAGAGTTTTAAAATAATAATTGTCGAATAGGGCTTAATGTGTGACAAGGAGTTTTGATGACCAATACAAAAGGAAGTGACCGATGGTTTGATCTTTCTTCGGCTGAATAGAGTAACACAAATGATTCAATTTTAGGCAGGCAGCATCATGGAAACAAGGACCAATTCGCGCAGGGAAAATGTCATGCCCATAGTTAACACAAGAATCTGTTCTCCTTTTACAAATTAAAATTCTTAATTTTGTTTTAATTTGTTTTTGGACGTCACATTACAAAACTACCAATGCAAGATCTGATCATATAATGTAGCAGGTGAGTTCTTGTCGTATGTGCTGCATTCTTACAATGTTGCAGAGCCAAGTCATCGGAAGAATTTGGCCAGCTCATCTAATTTTCTATTTTTTATTGGGTTAATTTCACAAACGATCACTGAACTTACAAAAAAATTATAAAACGGTCACTAAAGTTTAAAACTTTCAGTAACAGTCACTTAAGTATTGAGACACTTTAAAAAATGGTCACTGAAGTTTAAAAACTTTTGAGCTACTTTTGCGATAATTTTTCGACCACTTCCGACCATCGATACTACCGAATTTTAATACCGTTGGAAAGCCTACAATGTCTTCTTCAATTACAACAAAAATCTCCTCCAAACACCAAAGGATTCGGCCGGAATAAACCCACAAAGTTGGCTACCCGAAAAAGCAAAAATCTGCCCAAATTTTCAGATTTTAGGTGGACTTTTGCAGCGATTTTTTGACAACTTCCGACCACCAAAATAGCCAAATTTTGATACCGTTGGAAAGTTCACAATGTCCTCTTTAATAAGTATTCAAAATCTCTCCAAAACTCCAAAGGATTCGGCCGGAATAAACATCCCAGATTTTCGCCTTTTTGAGATGCCGACTTTGCGGGTTTATTCTGGTCGAATCCTTCGGAGTTTGGGGGAGATTTTGGATGATAATTGAAGATAACATTGTAGGCTTTCCAACGATATCAAAATTCGGCGGTCTTGGTGGTCGAAAGTCGCTGGAAAATTGCCGTAAAAGTCACCCAAAAATCTAAAAATTTGGGCAGATTTTCAGATTTTTTGGGGCGACTTTTGCGGTGATTTCCTGGTCGAATTCCTTGGTGTTATAGAGAGATTTTGAGTGGTAATTGAAGAGCACGTTGTGGGCTTTCCAACGGTATCAAAATTCGATGATATTGGTGGTTGGAAGTAGCCGAAAAATTGTCGCAAATGTAACAAAAACTAAAAAAGTGTTTTTTTCAACTTTAGTGACCGTTTCAGAAACTTTTTAAACGTTAGTTACCGTTTTTTAAAGCGTCACAATACTTAAGTGAGCGTTACTGAAAATTTTAAACTTCAGTGACCGTTTTGTAATTTTTCTATAAGTTCAATGACCATTTGTGAAATTAACCCTTTTTTTTATTATGTTACATTTTAGAAATAAAGAAAAACTAAAAGAGATCAACCAACTTGGCCAAACCCATCTTATTAGAAGTTTTTATTCATTCTGTCAACGAGTGTAAAATTGTGGAGGGGGACCTACGAGAAACAAGAAGGCAAAGTGACGAAATAAACTTCAGTCCTGCTACACGTACAACACTGGTTCATAGCGTGGGTTATAGTGCTGACGTGGAAAAAAAAACCAAAAATTCAAATATTAAAAGAAGTAAAAACGGTTTATATTGTATTTTGTATCTTCAAAGGCCTGACTGAAAACCTAACCCCTCCCAAGCTCTCCACTACCGTCGTTACAAAATCGCTTGAAACTTGTTAAATTCTTGAATGAAAACAATATGAAAGGCTTCATCATTGAAGCAAGAAACAATATTGAATTGAACTCCATAAAAGGAGGAAAGAAATACAAAGGAACCGGAATGAGTTCCATATAAAAGACACTCCATTGTAGGAG